AATTTAGAGTTAAAAATTTATAAATTAAAATACCACCTTATACGATGATATTTGAGAAAATTTAGAAGACACGAATTGTTTAAATCATTTTAAAACTTGAAATAGATTTGGATTTATCCAAACTACTAATCTAATATGCCCCCTAAATCATTAGGGCAAGACGAGATATCATCTAGTCTGGCATTGCCTTGTATACTAATCTCACAGTCTCATGCTAGCAAAGCAATTTTATTCGAAGCTTGTAAACCTAGAATCAGACCGGTCTTGGCCGGAGGTCTCTCTGGTTACTTTATTTTTCCAAGAACTGGTCCACTACAAAATTTTAATTAACTCAAGGAGTCAAGGGGTCAGTTTTGCAATTAAAAGAAAATAAAAGGTATACATACATGTATGCTGCTGATTTCATAATAGACCTAAACCTAACTGTGTTTTCTTAGCTACGACGATGGAACAAGGAGCACCGCAAACAAAATCTCTGTCTCGAGTCTGGTTTGTTCTTAAGAATGCAACAAGATATTTACATCACTGTTTGCTAATTTGTTGCACCCTAATTTCCAAAACCATCTCTACTTTTGCTCCGACCACTATAAATTCCGATGTGGAACATGACTTGTTTTCGTCGCTTCCAGATGAAATAGTTGTAACTTGCTTAGCACGCATATCGAGATCGTACTACCCGAAACTCTGCCTAGTCTGCAAAAGATTCCGCACTCTCATCTACTCCAATGACCTCCGCCTTGCGCGATATCACATGGACACAGAAGAAAACGTCCTTTACGTCTGCTTGAAGTTACCCGATCATCGTCTTCCTTCCTGGTTCACCCTCTGGATAAAACCTGATCAAACCCTAACCAATAACATGGTGGAGAATAACAACTCCACCGGAAATACTTTGTTGGTACGAGTACCCTCTTCACATTCTCCTCGTCTACCATTTATGTTCAAAACTAGGGTTGATTCCAAATTCTACGCAGTCAGAGCAGACCATTCTCCACCGACGTCGTCTCCCTTGGTCAGTAATGATGGGATTTACGCCACCTGGCGTAAAGGCCCTAGCATGAAGGTAGCTCGAGAGCATCCCGTTGCGGGCATCCTTGATGGGAAAATATACGTGATGGGTGGCTGCAGCGGAGACGAATCCAAGAATTGGGCTGAGGTTTTCGACACAAAGACTCAATTTTGGGAATCTTTACCTGATCCTGGCCCTGAGCTCCGCTTCTCTTTGATCAAGAGAGTGAACGTGAGAGGCGGAAAGGTTTATGTTAGTAGCAGCGAGAAGGATTATTTTTATGATCCGAAAGAAAGTAGTTGGGGAGTTGCATCAAATACACTCGAGATTGAGCAAAAGTGTGTGATAGAGAATGTTTGGTACCATTGTGGTCAAAAAGGTCGATTGTCGTGGTATGACATAAAGCGTAAAGAGTGGAGAGAGGTCAAAGGATTGGAGGTATTGAATAGAAATTGTGGTAATGGTGGTGTTACTGCAATAGCTAACTACAGTGGGAAACTCTTAATCTTGTGGGACAAGTCTGTTCAGCCTGATGATGAGCGCCTAAACAAGGACATTTGGTGTTGTGTGATTGGGCTTGAAAGACGCAATGGTGGTGATGAGTTTTGGGGAAATGTTGAGTGGTCTAGCGTCGTGCTCACTGTTCCCAGTTCATACGTTTTCTTGCGTTGTGAAGTCAGACCGTTTTGATCATGCTTTTTGTCTTGACCAGGTAGGGTTTCTTTCTCTAGCGTGTAACAAAAAGACATTTCTAGCCATCGTTTTGGTTTAAACTTGCATAACTTTTTTTCTTCTCCCTTAAAATAGATTCTTTCGTTGATTCGCTTTCATAGTGGCAAGCAAAAGCAAGTTAGTGGTAATGCTCTCTTATGATGTTTCAAATATCCGAATCTTGTTTTTTTTTTTTTTTTTTAATAATCTTGAACGTCTGGTTATTTTACTATAGATTAACCCTAGCTAGCTAAAGTCAATTCGAAACTGTGTAAACCATTATGATAGTTGTTGTCTTGTTGATCTTTACAAGAGTAACTCATGGATTTCCTCTAGCAAAAGTTTCAGAGAGGGAATACTTTCTTGTGCTTGAAGTAAAACTCCATAGTTCATAAACTTGTCAGAAACCACAGGCCACTTTCAACCCTTCTGGTTAAATAAATTAATCCAAATTAAGTGTCAAAAATGTTTTCTTTGCTGGTTTTCGTCTTATGGATTTGGCTACAATCTGAATTGTGTCATTGTTACACATTTGAGAGAGAGAGAAAGTAGTTTATAGCCAAATATGTTAAAGCAAGAAAAAAAGATCATATAAGAAATGCGAAAAGTATTACACATTCCAATCACCATTCCCAAAATTTAAAAATAATATAACAATAAACCAAAAAGGTCTAAAACAGTGCCATTCCGCGGCAAGACTAAACATCCACTCAACTTGATGACTGGATGAATGTAATGCAAAACGAAAATGGCAATTAAAATTCAATAAAAGATCAATTAAAGACGGGCGTTAGGTAAAGGGCAATTCGCAGGGATCAGAGATCATGAACCAGACAATTATTCAAGGAACAGATAAGCACAGTCTTGAACTCAAACATGAATGTATAGCTAATCTACTGTCGTGGTATCAGAGACTCTATCTAACAACCTAAGATTCTAAATTGTCGTTTGAACTTAGAATTGTAAACAGGCATTAGCGACCAGGTTCGATTTGTTCACAGATTGCCTTAACATCAGCTTTCGTTAGTTAAGGACATTCTGTTCATCTATGTTCTTTCAAGCTTTTAAACAAACACTTTTGGTGTGCTAAACAACCTAGAATCAGAAACTGGGTAGCTAATCAAATTTCAGCAATGAGATCAACGATAAATGAAGACAACAATTGAAATAACCCTATCTATGTTTGATTCAATAATTCATAATCCCATTGAAACTGTTGAATGTAATGCAAAACGAAAATGGCAATTAAAATTCAATAAAAGATCAATTAAAGACGGGCGTTAGGTAAAGGACAATTCGCAGGGATCAGAGATCATGAACCAGACAATTATTCAGGGAACAGATAAGCACAGTCTTGAACTCAAACAAGAATGTATAGCTAATCCACTGTCGTGGTATCAGAAACTCTATCTAACAACCTAAGATTCTAAACTGTCGTTTGAACTTAGAATTGTAAACATGCATTAGCGATCAGGTTCGATTTGTTCACAGATTGCCTTAACATCAGCTTTCGTTGGTTAAGGACATTCTGCTCATCTATGTTCTTTTAGACTTTTAAATAAATTGTTTAAATCATTTTAAAACTTAAAATAGATTTGGATTTATCCAAACTACTAATCTAATATGCTCCCTAAATCTTTAGGGCAAGACGAGATATCATCTAGTCTGGCATTGCCTTGTATACTAATCTCACAGTCTCATGCTAGCAAAGCAATTTTATTCGAAGCTTGTAAACCTAGAATCAGACCGGTCTTGGCCGGAGGTCTCTCTGGTTACTTTATTTTTCCAAGAACTGGTCCACTACAAAATTTTAATTAACTCAAGGAGTCAAGGGGCCAGTTTTGCAATTAAAAGAAAATAAAAGGTATACATACATGTATGCTGCTGATTTCATAATAGACCTAAACCTAACTGTGTTTTCTTAGCTACGACGATGGAACAAGGAGCACCGCAAACAAAATCTCTGTCTCGAGTCTGGTTTGTTCTTAAGAATGCAACAAGATATTTACATCACTGTTTGCTAATTTGTTGCACCCTAATTTCCAAAACCATCTCTACTTTTGCTCCGACCACTATAAATTCCGATGTGGAACATGACTTGCTTTCGTCGCTTCCAGATGAAATAATTGTAACTTGCTTAGCACGCATATCGAGTTCGTACCACCCGAAACTCTGCCTAGTCTGCAAAAGATTCCGCAGTCTCATCTACTCCGACGACCTCCGCCTTGCGCGATTTCACATGGACACACAAGAAAACGTCATTTACGTCTGCTTGAAGTTACCCGATCATCGTCTTCCTTCCTGGTTCACCCTCTGGATAAAACCTGATCAAACCCTAACCAATAACATGGTGGAGAATAACAACTCCACCGGAAACACTTCGTTGGTACGAGTACCCTCTTCACATTCTCCTCGTCTACCATTAATGTTCGCCCCTAGGGTTGGTTCCAAATTCTACGCAGTCAGAGCATACAATTCTGCACCGACGTCGTCTCTCATGTTGGTCAGTAATGATGAGATGTACACCCCCCTGGCGTAAAGGACCTAGCATGAAGGTAGCTCGAGAGAATCTGGTTTCGTGGATCCTCGATGGGAAAATATACGTGATGGGTGGCTGCAAGTCAGATGAGTCCGAGAACTGGGCTGAAGTTTTCGACACAAAGACTCAAACTTGGGAATCTTTACCTGACCCTGGCCCTGCTCTCCGCTTCTCTATGATCAAGAGCGTGTACGGGGCAAAGGGAAAGGTTTATGTTAGGAGCAGCGAGACGAAGGGTTATTTTTATGATCCGAAAGATGGTAGATGGGGCGCTGAAGCAGAAGCACTCGAGGTTGAGAAAAGATGTACGATAGACTCTGTTTGGTACTCTTGTGTTATGAAAGGCTGCTTGTCGTGGTATGACACAAAGCGTCGAGAGTGGAGAGCGGTCAAAGGTTTGGAGAAATTGAATATGAATTATGGTGCTGCTGGTATCGCAATAGCTAATTACGGTGGGAAACTCTTAATCTTGTGGGACAAGTTTGTGCAGAAGGCTGATAAGCGCCGAAACAAGGACATTTGGTGTTGTGTGATTGCGCTTGAAAGACGCAATGGTGGTGATGATGATGAGGTTTGGGGAAATGTTGAGTGGGCTAGTATTGTGCTTACTGTTCCCAGTTCATATGTTTTCTTGCGTTGTGGAGAGACTGTTTTGATCATGCTTTTGTCTAGACCATTGCCAATGTCTTTTGCCTTAAAATCTAAACTTTTATAGCTTCTTTCAAGTTGCTGTTAATGCTCTGTTATATCACTATATGGATTAAGAAGCCTAAACTCAGTTTGAAACTGTGAAAATCATTAGTCGTTCATCTTTACAAGAGTAAGTCATGTATCTTTCTAACAAAAGTTTCAGAGAGGGAATACTTTCTTGTGCTTGAAGTATAACACAAAGCCAAAATACAAAAACCCGCACCCAATACCTGTTACAAGCAAAACCCACTGGAACATGGCCGGATCTTTGAAAACAGAGTCTTGCAGATTCATCCCGAATACTGCCGTTACGGCCGCAAAAATGGCTGCCACAAAGGTTGCTGCGGTGAGAAGCAGCTGAAACTGAATCAACTGGTTCTGTACATTCCCCTAAGAAAAACATGGACACAATGTCAGAGAGACTCCGAGAATATTGGGATGAGACAAGAACAAGGTAACAAAGACTTGATATTCTCTGTCTTTACCAGCTTAATGTTGATCAGATCCTCTGTATCATCTATATACTCCTTCAGCTACAAACACAAGATCACAAATCAAAATGACGAATTCAACTGATGCATCCAACTGTAACAGATTGAGTATCTAACCGATGATAATTTGCTGAGAGTGTTGTCAACAACGACAAAGTAGGCTTCTAGTAACATCTCTAGTTGATCGATGTTCTCTCCGCTGCTCGAGGAGCTTAACAAGCTTCTGTGTGAGCCAACGACGCTGCTAAAGGCTCTTTGAAGCTTCCCAAAGTTTCCACTTGTTGAACCAACAGGTGAAACCGGCGCAGACTTGGAAACTATTCCAGAAGATTCGAATTCCTCATGGAGGTTATCTTCTAGCTCCACTGAACCATGAGCCTCGGATCTTTCTTTCTTCTCAGTCAAATACATCTCAGCCATATCATCATCATCATCCATCAAATGCTCTATTTCATCACAAACCTACAAGTTTTAAGACCCACGAAATCAAAAATGTATACGGCAACCAGTTTTTCAAAACTTTGAAGTGTTCTTTGTGTGTTTTACCTTCTGAACTTTCTGCGTTAAGGCAAGGAGGCGACCTTTTAACCTGCGCACGTGTTCTAGATTAAGCGTGCTGATGTTCGAAGCTAATTCATCAAGAACAGGATACACCTCCATCTCAAGCTCATTCACCTATTCAAATCAAGTCCACCAAAAGCTTAAAGCTGTAACTTTTTTTATAGCTACACGAAGAATGATGAAGACAAAAACTAAAACTTTAAAGAAGACATCGTGGCGTACCTGTCCATCTAAAGACAAGCAAGACAATTCCAAAACCAGCTCCAAAGCTTTGAATTCAAACGGCAAATCATCTAAATCCAGCACCACACACACACATATATATATATATATATATAACAGTTTTGTCAGCAATCCAACCAGTAATCATAATCCCCAAACCACCAAAGCTATTTTTATTAAAAATCATTAACCTTTGAGATTCAGGTTCTGGTTTGACTGGAGACGTTTGCACAGTTCGGACTGGTACTGAGCAACGGATGCATCACGAGCATTCATGAGAATAACCTCCTCGGCTGTGATAATACACCTGATCTTCTCAAGGCTGACCACTATCGCTCTCTCACGCCCCAAGATGCTCGACGGGTAGATAAACAAAGGGTCAAGAAGTCTCAAATCCCTGGATGGTAAAGAACAACGCTTCATGATAGTTGCCTTGTCGAGCTCTAAAACCGTTGAGTTCCCATATTCGTCAATCTTCACCCATGAACGACTAGACTGGCCTCTCTTCTTGAGGCCAGAATAAGGGTGTCCACGGTTAATCTGCCCTTCCAGGTTAACCGGTCTACCGATCTTTTGTGAAGTTATGAAATCCGGAAGATTCGAACCGGAGAATGGATCCAGTTGTTCTCCCATGTTGAATCCTCTTTATCCTCTATTTGCTTACGATTTACTGATGCATCAGAGCCAAAACTGTCACCATTCTGATTAAACAGTTTTCGGTGTGACGGAAGAAGTTGAATAAGACCTTGAGCTCACAGTTTCCAAACCTGAAAAACAACAATTTTGACATGAAAATGTAAACCTCTTCTTCTTCACAGTGAAACTGAGAAACCCACAAATTAAAAAACCTAACTTTCTAAATTGTAGAGAAAAATTCGACCAGAAAATGCATCAATCATCAAGAATCCACTTCTGAGAACCCTCAAATCTCTAATCAATCTAGATTGAATAAGTTCTTAGATGATAAACGAAACAAAGCCACAAAATTTACAGTGAAGGAAGATCCATATCAGTAGGAAATTTCTCAAAATTCAGTATCTTAATCGAGGAATTCGATCGGTTAAACTACAGAACACAAATCGTCGGCGATCAATTAGGTCGAAATTATCAATTTCCCAAATACACACACGAACAAAGTAAAAATGCATAAATTATCAAAGAAAATGATATCGTAGAGGGAACTTACAAAAACCCAGATTCTCAAAAGACTTCACCTTTCGTTTACAGTCTTGTTTCAGTTTCACGGGCAGCAGCAGAAGAAGAAGAACAATCGCTTTCTTTTGTTCTACAGAGTTAAAAAAAAAAAAAAAAAAAAAAAAAAACGCTTCGTTCTTTAACACAGCAGAGACAAGACGAGAACGTATGTCAAGCCACGTGTTTAAAGTCAAGGCGTCTATCTATTAGATAGAACACGGTTTCTATAATAGACCGTGCCACATGGAATCATTACGAAAGTGGTAAAGAAGTCGACATGGCGCGAAACGCAGCAGCCATGGTTAGTTAGTTAAAAAGTTCCGAACTTTACGACATACCTTTCGTTCTGCTATCGCCAGAGAACGAAACCCTAGATCCCCTTTTCATCATCATCTTAATTATTATTTTTTTCCCCAACGTTTTCTCTAACAAGAAAGAAAGGAAATTTCACAACTTATCCAAGTGTGAAGAATCATCATCACTGAAATCAAGATTGTATTAATCACGGCTCTGATCAAATCGTTAAAAGGTATGTTTTTTTTTATGTATATTGGTTTTGATTCGTTCGATTAACCCTAGAAAATGGCTAAAAAGAGGCATTGATGATGAACATGTTCTTTAGGTGTTATGGAGTCAGAACATAATGAAGATGGAAACAAGAAGGTTTCAGGAGATGAGTTATTAAAAGAAGAAAATGGTGATGGTGAGCATATACGGATCCATTCAGAAGAAAATGGAGATGGTGACCATACAAGGATCCATTCAGAAGAAAATGGAGATGGTGAGCATAAAAGGATCCTTTCAGAAGAAACAGGAAGTGTAATCATCCACTCAGAAACACATTCAAGATCTTCATCTTCTTCTTCATCTTCATCATCATCATCGTCTTCTCCTTCCTCATATTCATCCCCACCAAAACATCTACCTGAAGATGGCAAAGAGTCACCATCAAACGAAGCAGAGGTTTCTCCTACAGATTCACCTCCTGTTCAAGTGATGGACAGAGACGATAACAACAACGAAGACCCTCAAGGCATAAACTATGACCCGAACAGGATCCCTTTGTCGGTTTTCGAGAGAAGCAAATCGAATATACAAGCTGAGTGGAGCTGCACTTCGAACGAATCTCTCTTCAGTCTTCACTTAGGACGCAACAGTTTCACTGTCGACATGATGAAATCAGGAGAGCTCTACAAGTCAGGAGAGCTGCTCGCTTACAGTCCCGCGCTTCCTATGCCTCCTCCACCAGGACCAGGAGGAGAATCAAACCTAGTTGAATCCAAGGTTGTTGATGATGATTCAGATGAGGAAGTTGTAGTAGTACTAGGAGAAACACATAGAGAGAAGGAAGAGGATAAAAGAGATAGCCATGAGAAAGAACAACATCCTGCTGTTTCTTGGAAGACTCCTACAACTTCGTACCGTTCTAACCGAAGCTCAAACAGCGCGCACTCCTTCACTTTCCCAATGTAGTAAAATCAATCTCCATTGTATCTCCTTTATGACTTGTTCTTTTGTTTTGGTAGTGAAAGTTTTTGTCTTTTTGTTTTGTTTTGTAATAACAGTTTGGCAGGAGCTGCAAGTGAATCAGGGAAAAAAGAAACAGAGGAACAGAAGAAACAAGCAAAGCAATCACAAGAGATGAAACAGCCAGAAGAAGCAGCAAATCAGAAGCAGACAATGTGGAGGTGGTTCTCATGTTTTCCTTCGTGTCCTTGGTGTTGTTCTTCACGTACTTTATGGCCTTGTTCTTGAGTTTTTTTTTTTTAAGGCTTTAGGGTTAGTTGACCCCGGTGAGTATTTAAGCCAGACAAATGGAATCCAAATTGGGCATGTTAAGTTATGTTTAACAAAGCAATTTAGGATAATTTAATGATTCACGTGGTTTAGGTTAGTGAGAGAGCAAAGTTCTAAACTCTATTGAAAAAGTGTTGATACTTGACGGCCAAACAAATTTAGAGTGAGTTTTGAAACTTTGTATGGGTTATGTGACGGCCATTTGTAGAAGTCTAGAAGACATTATCGGCTTTTTTTCAGATCTCAACACACAAATAAAAATATTCTTTGGCAGAATTCCAAAACGATCAAAGAAGAACAAAATTTTCCTTTCAATTAAAAATCAACTGTGATCCCAAATTATTCCCAAACCAAACCAAAAGTTGACTTGTGATCCGCCAAAAGAATGATGATATGCTTTTCACTCTAACAATATAACCTCTCAAAGATTCTCTCAATCAAAAACTCTACTTTCTGGCCTGACCATTGCCATGGCCTTTGATCTGAGAAGCTTTAGCAGCACCAGTAGTAGTCTCACCGTTTCTCCCTTGGCCGCTTCGTCCTCCATTGGAACCGTTGCCCCGAGTGTTTCTGTGACCATTCTCATCCCTATTGTTACCGTTGCTTCGCGCAGAGGCTCTCCCGTCATTCTCATTGTTGTTGCCTGCAGCAGAATCCAAAAAACAACACTCAAGAGTCAAGATCCGGACTTTGTCTCTTACATTTAAACATAAAGTCAAAATCTTGGAGACAACATTGCCTTAAAGAAACTGACCTCGTTTTTCTTCTACATGTGCTCTTCGGTTTCCGATTATGATTGGATATTCCTCCTGAGCCTACAGTTTCAAATTCAATTATCAGAAAAAAAACTTTATAAAAAAATCAAGATCTTCGAGATATATTGAAGCTGAGACTTTGATGGGCAAACAAAAAAAAAAGCAATTACCTCGAGGACTTTTTTCACTGCTTCACCATTCATGAATGACACAAACCCGAAACAGTTTCTTGTCTCCTGAAACAAAGTCGAGATTTTTAAGCGTGTGAGTGAACTAGGGTTTTAAGGTTTCGAAGCTACGCAACACACATTGTCTCCTAAGAGTAAAGAAAAAAAACTGACCGTGTAGCTTCTGACTTGGATACCACCTTCTCTGATTGCTCCAAAAACTCTGAATGTTTCATCGAGTTGCTCATGAGTCGCATCTATAGGCAAGTTTCCAACGAATATGGTAACACCCTGAGGTGCTTGCTCAACAGAAGCGCGTTTAGCAACTGGGGCAGGAGCTTTGGGCTCAGGAGCAGCAACTCTCGGCTTTTCCACAGGTTTAGGCTTTGCAGGAGCGGCTTTAACAATAAACGGAGCGCTATTTTGAGCCAGAGACTGGACCTGTATGTTTAAGAGAATCAGACGTTGCTGCAAGATAAAAAGAAAAAAAAAACCACACAGTAGAATATGAAAAACTAAAACACAAACGAAGACTCACAATCAATGCATACGATCTCTTGGGAGCGTCTTCTTGAGGTTTCGCTTCAGCAGCTTTAGGTAAGTTACCGTTATCATTCACAGCTTTAGGTAAGTCACCGTTTCCATTCACACCTTTAGGTAAGTTACCATTTCCATTCACAGCTTTATTCACAGCTTTGGGTAAGTTACCGTTTTTATTCACAGCTTTAGGTAAGTTACCCTTTCCATCCACAGCTTTCTCCTCATGGACCTTCGCATGCCCATTCGCTTCGGCGCTCACGGGTTTCGTCACTTTGCTAGGGATGATAGCAACCGCCTCCACGATTTCATTTACAGGCTCAGCTGGTCAAAAACAATACGAATCAAAAAAAAAAAAAAAAAAACAATGTCTAAGACTGTAAAATCTCAAGGTTCTTGAGTGAAAACAAACACTTACCGGCGTTTGACTCGATCACTTGAGGACGACTCTCCTCGACCTGCTTGGCGTTTGACTCGACCACTTGAGTCATCTCCTCGACCTCCTTGGCGTTTGACTCGATCACTTGAGGACCCTCCTCGACCTTCTTGGTGGTGGATTCTGGTCCAGCACAGTCTTTAGGCAGGTACCTAAGGACATCGTTGAGCACAAAGTAGCTTCCTTTCTTCGGCACAAGGAAGAAAGTCTGAGCAAAAGTCTTCCTTTCTCCGTCTTTCCCAATCACCAAACCGGTGACTATAGTCACAACTCCGTCCTTTATAGACGGTTGGGAATCGGCAGAGTGAATCAGGATCTTCGAGTTTTGGTAGTCGTAGGACATAATCTTCTCACTGATAGCCTGCAAAAGTCGAATGAAGGAATTAAAAAACAAACACGAACACAAGAAAAAAACACAAAGTTTGATTCAATGAGAGACGCATACTATAAAGGTGGATATATGACATTATTATTAAAGGAACTTACTTTCAGTGATTTGACAGAAACCATCTCATTAGCGAGATCTGGCCGTCCAACAACACTCTTCTCGAGATAGAATCTGTGAACTTCCGCAGGCGATTCGTAAAGGTGTGTGTAGTATTTCTGAACAAAAGCATTGCCTACAATTTGTGGGTCCATTGATGAACACTTTGATTCAGGTGTCATCTCTGCATATTCCAATAGATTCAATTAGAGAAAAATACTCTTTGAGACAGTCTCAAGCATTCTTAATCCAAAGTAGAGTGTTGAATAGAAACAGAGCCAAACAAAAGGACATATGTTCATGATTATTACAAGATAACTCAGTATAAATCGAAAACCCACAACACTTTATTAACTAGATCGACTAAAAAAATACCCAAAATCTATGCAACAGTAGAAAACAATCCAGTTCAGAGAAAACCTAAACTGCAATTTAAGTATCTCAATGAATCTTGCAGTTCTACACAATACAGAAAGCTAATTGCATAACTTAGTACTGCAAAGTAGTGAATCTATTGTACGATTGTACGAAATTTATTAGCCTACTGTAATTGCAACTACACCTATTTGGTTTCATTAGATCATTACAATAATAAAGGCTTAGAAATTGAACTTCCACAGATCTATCTATAAGCGCTCGATTCTGAGAAAAGAGGAGAAAAGCTTAAAACTTTGCTGCGAACTGAATTAAAAAGGGGAAAACTTTGTGGAATATAAACAGTACAACCTAAAATAAATAAATAAAAAGATGAAAGAGATTGAACCTGAAGCAATTTTCCGGCTAAGGTAGAGAAGACAACGGAATCAAATCTCAATTAGACTCAGTGAGAGGGAAGGAGAGAACAAAGATAGAGTGGAACTTGGGATGGTATATATATGGCTCCTAGGGTTTTACTCTGGGAATTTTTCCTTTTTTACTTGGATTTCATTCCGTTTTTGTACCTTTTTCACTTTTTGATACATCCAATCATATCCTGCCACGTAATCATATCGGGGATCGAATGTTTCAGGCGCCCAGCTGCTTCGGTTTGTGAACCGACTCTACAAAGTACAAACCGAAAATCCATCAGTGTAAAAAATACAAGCAAAATAATTAGACCGAATACGAAAAAAGCCCCCGGCGAGGATCGAACTCACGACCTTTCGCTTACGAAGCGAACGCAATACCACTATGCTACGGAGGCGCTTTGTTCAACTAAATGTAAAACATCATTAAAAATTGACTTTCACTTGCAGACAAAACTAACTTCGTCACTACTTTTCGGAGACAGGGGAGAAAGAGAGAGAGACGCCGCCGGAGGAATGTGCGGAATTGCGGTTATAGTGTGCGGCGTTCGTATCGAACTCTCGACGTTGTCGTTTCTCTCGGCGCCTCCTTTCGAACAAGTTAGTCACTTTTTGAATCTCTTTCCGTATTGGCGTGTGTCAGTTCGGAGTTTCTTCTTTACTTCTGGGTTTTTGAAGTTTAGTGCTATTTTTTTCTTCAGTGTCAAGTTAATAACTTTAGTTTAGCAATCACTGATTCACTATTAAAGATTGAAGCTTTTTTATTATCTCCCTCAGTGTCGTAAATTGGGTTTAAAGATCGGATTTGTTCTTCAGTGAACTGCTTGTTGGTTGAGTTTCAATCTCCTCTCTGCCATCTGTGTATAACGAAAAAAGAATACACTTTTGAAGTTTTGTTGATGGCTAACGATAATTGATTGATTTGATTTTTGGTGTTTATTTGGTTAAACCAGCTACAATTCTCTGTTGAAGATGTCAAATCTGTCTTAAGCCAAAGAGGTCCTGATAGTGTAGGCGAAAAGAAGATTCTTCTTCAACCAACTTGTGGTCAAGACTCTGTGACTCTCTCTGTTTATGAGGCTGCCGAAGGAACTCGTGAGCTTGGAGATACTTCTTCTTCCGGTGAACTGCATTTTATAGGTTCCACATTACAGCTTAGAGGAACTACTCCTATCATTCAGCCATTGGTGGATTCTTCCGGAAACATTCTAGCTTACAATGGTGTGGTTTCCTTCTTAAGCGTTTTGATCATCATACGTTTTCCTTTACACTATATGATAACAATTTGGTATATTTCCTCTGTAGGAGAAGTGTTTGGAGGAATCGACCTTGACAGTTATGATAATGATACTGAAGTTCTCATGAAGTCTTTAGAGAAAGCAAAAGATTTGGTGCCTGATGTTCTCTCAATGATTAAGGGTCCGTGGGCTGTTATATATTGGCAGGTAATTTCTGTGACTTGCCGCTAAATTTTGTTTTGCAGCGTTTTTACTTGCTCTTAGGAGATTTGTTTTATCCATTAGGAAAGCTCAAGAACGCTATGGTTTGGTAAAGATGCTTTTGGTCGGAGGAGCCTCCTTGTTCACTGGCCAACCGTTGAGGACCCTCGTCTTCTTCTATCGTCTGTTTCACCAGCTTCTTCAGTGGCTCATGGCTCTGGTTTGTATTTTGCTTAGTAGAGTGATTATGTCTCTTTATGTACACTTCAAGCCCATGTAAAGATTTTGTTTTTAGCAGGATTAGATGGTGAAAATGGTAATGGCGTTCATAGATTTTGGGAAGAGCTTCCATGTGGAGTGTACAGCATATCTTTCGGGGTTTCGGAATCAGGTTTATGTATTCGTGGCGAAGTCACAAAGCACGAATGGAGAAATGGCATGTGGAAGGAATTGATTGAATGGGAAAGGAAATCTGTTGTGCCAAGACCTGAAGATGTATCAACCTCGTCGCTTAGTGGAATGCAAGAAGAGGAAGACAATGGTCTTTCAACTTCTTTAGGTAACTGCTTAAGTTCGTCAGACTCTCTCCGGTTCTGTACAAATTTCATATGCCTGACAAGGTTTAGCTTTAGGACTCGCGCAGACAGTTTTGGTTGTTTTAAAGGAATCAGTGAGACGGAGAACTTCACTACATTGCATTTTTCAGGTATGAATGCTCTACTAATTACAATACTGCATGATTTGTGATTTCCCTTTTTAAATACCTTTCTTATTTTCCCTAATAAACAGGGAGAAGAAGAAGCTGTTCCAGTAGCTGTTCTTTTCTCTGGTGGATTAGATTCAATGATTCTTGCTGCGCTGTTGGATCAGTGCCTTGATCCAAAATGTAACCATTCCTCTACACTGTTTCTCTCTCTCTCAAGCATCGATCGATCCTGATACTAATTTAGATTTTCAAAAATCTCTTTGTTTTTGTTTTAGATGAAGTTGATCTTCTTAATGTCAGCTTTGATGGTCCTAATGCTCCGGATAGGATCTCCGCCGAGGCTGGAATAAAGGAACTTCAAAAGATTGCACCTTTGAGAAGGTGTGGCTCTGAAAACCTTTTTATAAATGCATATGTCTACTACTAAACCTGTGTTGATGCAAATGTTCTTGGATATTTTCAGGTGGAAACTTGTCCATATTGATGCTGATTTGTCGAAACTAACCTTTGAGACAAAGCGTGTTATGTCAGTCATAAATCCTGCAGACACGTACATGGTACACTTCAAAGTCTTGAGGCTTTTCTCATTACATTCTTATGAACTTGATGACAATTATACAATCTTTTCTAGGACCTTAACATAGGAACAGCACTTTGGCTTGCTGCTCGTGGTGATGGTTGGATTCATGAAGAAAGCGAAGACCAACCAGGAGAAGAAGATAACCGACAAATCAAATATAAGTCTGATGCTCGAGTTCTGCTTGTTGGCGCTGGTGCTGATGAACAGTGTGCTGGTTATGGTAGACACAGAACAAAATATCGAAATGGGAGGTACATCAAAATATGTCTGCATAATTTTTCCTATGGATGTAAACTAATAATTAACTCATGTCACAAGTTCTGTTCATGTTTTGCAGCTGGACTGCGTTGGATCAAGAAATGAAATTGGATATGCAGAGAATTTGGAAAAGAAACTTGGGTCGAGATGATCGATGCATTGCAGATAATGGTAAAGAGGTAATATGTCAATGCGCTACGGATAGAAGCTCAAAAATCGTTTTCTCTTTTGTGCTCTGTTCTTAAATGTTGGTTATATACATTTTTGTTTTTCAGGCGCGATTCCCATTCTTAGATGAAGATGTGATAAAGACTCTCCTTGACATTCCCTTGTGGGAAGTCGCTGATCTTGAACAGCCAAGTGGAAACGGAGACAAGAAGATTCTTAGACAGGTGTGTAAAAAAAGCCACAATTTTTACTTCTAAAAGATAAACTCAATAACATTTTAGAAACTTCATAATCCCAAAAAACACGTTGCTTAAAATCTTGAAGGTTGCAAAGTTGCTTGGTTTGCATGAAGTTGCAAAGATGCCCAAGAGAGCAATACAGGTAACAAGAAGAGGTTGAAAAGAGCTCAACTCAAAAAGTTGAAAGCTTTGTGTTGTGTTTTTTATACTCTCTCTCTCTCTCTCTCTCTCTCTCTCACTATTGTTTCGGGCTTTGGTTGTGTTTTCAGTTTGGGTCGAGGATAGCTCGTGAATCAAACCGGAAGAATTTTGGAAGTAACCGTGCCGCAAACCAGGCCTCTGCCGGGAGTGTGAGATTTCACTCGCCGTGAGTACTGATCCCGAAACAACTATTGTTAGATCACAATTTTGTGTTTTATTATTTGTATACAGATTCCTAATAAAAGGACTGTTTCATGTTTTTCGGCATTGGAAAAGTGATTTTGCTATTGATCAAAGTCATATAGCATACCAAAGTTTTGCTAGCGATGATGTTGTATCATCATCTGAATTTAAATTATAAGAAAGACGAATCTTTCGAGACTTTAAAACTTTGATCATCAAGAGGAAACCAACAGCTACTCTTGCTTCAGTGAGTCCGCCATCTCCGTTGCACATCTCCTTCTCCATTGCAGGCACTCTTCTTGATAATGTAACAAAGAGATTCAATGAAACAGAGCTTGGTAAGTAAATGAGAGTTTAAAATGGTGAATTAAGTGAGAAGAAAGACCATAAATATGCAAAACGAGCTTCGCATAGAAACCATACCATATTTAGATTTAGCTCACCCACAAAGGGGTAAAATTGGAAAATCAAAAGTTACACAAAATCCCTAAATTTATTCTTTCACGGTGAACGTCTTCCGTCTCTCGTCGTCGTCTCCGTGCTGCGGCGGATAAACCCCTGTAAAGCCCACGAACGTAATAATCCCAAAGTGTTGTTCTTTTTTCGCCTCATAATCTGATGGAAACCGAAATCAGTGGCTGCGACAACATCATCGGCGATGATACATGGCGAGCGGAAGCGGAAATCGGTGGCAACGAGAGGGCTCTGCAGGCGCTTCGAGAGCTCATCATCTTCCCTTTTCGCTACCCTCTCGAAGCTCGAACTCTTGGTCTCAAAGTACGCATCAACACCTATTTGATTCATGATCTGGGCTTCTCTCTCTCTCTCTCTTACTTTTCCAATTATTAATCGGCTCTGCTTTTACTTATCATTGCAGTGGTCTAGAGGGTTGCTCTTATACGGCCCTCCTGGAACCGGAAAGGTAAACAAAAGTGTGATGGGTTCATGAAAGTTGTGAACTTTTTGTAGATGAGCTCAATTAAGCTGATTAGACTGTTTTTTAATGGCGGCGTTGATTTGGAACTTTTGGTTTTTCTTGTAGACAAGCTTGGTCCGTGCTGTTGTCCAGGAATGTGATGCGCATTTGATTGTTTTAAGGTACTCTGTTTTGTAGCCTCTGTGTAAGTTATGGTCTTTGAGCAATAGACGAAGAGCTAATTGTACTTTTGCATTTGTGTGGCGATCTCTGTTCTCAGTCCTCATTCTGTACATCGAGGACATGCGGGAGAAAGCGAGAAGGTCTTAAGGGATGCTTTCGCTGAGGCTTCTTCTCATGCTGTTTCAGACAAGCCCTCTGTGATTTTCATCGATGAAATCGACGTTCTTTGTCCTCGGCGTGATTCTAGGTACTGCATCCTTACTCCTGGTTTTATAACTGTGAATCTTGGAAGAGGTTGAGAATAATCTTGATTCTCTCTAAAAAATGCAGAGGACAGCAGGATGTTCGTATTGCTTCTCAGCTTTTTACACTCATGGACTCAAACAAGCCTTCGTCATCTGCACCAAGAGTTGTTGTAGTAGCATCCACAAATAGGTTCTTGTCTCTGCCTTGAAAAACGTTATTTTAGTATTTTGAATGCAATGATTCAATGGTTTTCTCCTATCTTGTCAAAAGGATGGATGCGATTGACCCAGCGCTAAGAAGGGCGGGACGATTTGATGCTTTAGTTGAAGTGAGCACGCCTAATGAAGAGGATCGTTTAAAAATCCTGCAGGTAATAAAATATTGAGTTCTTAAATGGATTGCTTATTGCTGCTTAATAGGAACTTTTTCGTGAGCTTCATGTTTGCTTCTTTTTTTTCAGCTGTACACAAAGAAACTCAGTTTAGACCCTACTGTTGATCTACAAGCTATAGCAACGTCTTGCAACGGTTATGTTGGAGCAGATTTGGAAGCTTTGTGTCGTGAAGCGACCATCTCTGCAAGCAAAAGATCCTCAGATTCTCTTATATTGACATTGCATGACTTCATGATTGCAAAATCTGTGGTTGGTCCAAGTATAACAAGAGGCATCACAGTTGAAATCCCTAAAGTGACATGGGACGATGTTGGTGGTCTTCAAGACCTAAAGGTCAACACTTGTAAAAGAAAGAGTTATAGCTTTAACATTGTTGTCTTCCTCTTTCATTGCGACTGATTTGTTTCGTAATTTTCTTTATGGACAGAAAAAGCTTCAGCAAGCTGTTGAATGGCCAATCAAACACTCAGCTGCATTTGCAAAAATGGGCATATCGCCTATGCGTGGAATACTCCTCCATGGTCCTCCAGGTTGCTCAAAGACAACTCTCGCTAAAGCCGCTGCAAATGCTGCTCAAGCTTCCTTCTTTTCCTTAAGGTATAGATTTTGCGGATCAGAAAATGCTGAGAACTTGATAGAACACGTTTAAGGTTATGAAACTTGTTTAAAGGAACTGGTTGTTTTTCTTGTGATTCAGCTGTGCGGAGCTATTTTCTATGTATGTTGGAGAAGGTGAGGCGTTATTACGGAACACGTTTCAAAGAGCTCGACTTGCTTCTCCTAGTATAATATTCTTTGATGAAGCTGACGTTGTCGCGTGTAAAAGGTTTGTCTCTATCTCTCTCTTCTAAAACTCTTTGCTTCGCGTCATAAGCTCTTTAACATGTTTCTTTGTAGAGGTAACGAGAGCTCAAGCAATAGTTCTACAGTTGGAGAAAGACTTTTGTCTACACTGTTAACCGAAATGGATGGTCTTGAAGAAGCAAAGGTATAACAAAACAAACACAAAAAAGGTCATATCTTTTATCGGTTTAACAACAATAGTATTGATAGGTTTTTGGTTTAGGGAATCCTCGTCTTGGCTGCTACAAACCGTCCCTATGCAATCGACGCTGCTCTAATGCGACCTGGTCGGTTTGATCTCGTAAGTCTTCATATTATATATCATTTGATCAGATGATTTCTTAAATAGCAAACCGCATTTTGTTAAACGTTCTCTTTGGAATCTCTCTGTTTTTAGGTACTGTACGTGCCACCGCCTGATCTAGAAGCTCGGTTTGAGATACTGCAAGTGCATACACGCAACATGAGACTTGGAGACGACGTTGATCTAAGAAAGATCGCTGAAGAAACCGAGCTCTTCACTGGTGCTGAGCTCGAGGGTCTATGCAGAGAAAGCGGAACTGTCTCGCTTAGAGAAAACATTGCAGCAACCGCTGTGTTCAACCGCCATTTCCAAACCGCGAAGAGCTCGCTTAAACCGGCGTTGACAGTCGAAGAAGTGGAAACTTATTCATCGTTCAGGAACAGGAAGTCGAAAGGATCGGATCTGAAAACGATTCCGGTTAAGAAGAAGAAGGTGAATCCCTCCACTGGTTTCGGTTTAGGGTTCTCATGGAGATTTGGTGTTTTGAGCTTGTTGTTGCTTGCTACTGGGAATTATTACTTAAACCAGAGTAAACATGAACTTGTAGCTTCTACTGCAACATGAATCTTAAAAATAGAATTCTCTTTTCTTCTTTTGGTTATTCTATAAAATATCTTTTCAAAGTTCAAATTTTTAAATGACAAAAACGGCTAAATAATAAGATTCGGACAATGACAAAGACTGGCCATTATTTAACAGTGGCCCACAAACCTCACTATTGAAATCTTTCACCGTCGTCGAATTTCGTGAAATTTCTTAAAGCACTAATAATTCCACTGGTTTTGTGTTTACTGATTGAACCATTTTAGCTTTGTTCCAACTCCAAATATCAAATTAATTATCTTTAATTTCTTGGAGAGCCCCAATAACCTCACCAGTTTAGGAACAATTATATCTTTGAACTTCGATGAAAATTTGAGAACCGTGATTGTTTTTTTAGATTATCACCATTTGAAATTGATGGTTAACCGAAGAACCGATCAATTGAACCGGAACCTTTGACACTACCAAAACTGGTTTGAGCTTATATATAGAGCTGGTTCGCGTATGACTCAGTAGTCAGTTCTGAGTCTGCGTTTGCTGCTTCTTCTCCTTCCGTTTCTTCTTCTAGATCTGATCGCGAATTTCACCGAAGGTGTGTTCCTGAATCCCTCAATTCTCCAGATCGATTTCTTTCTTCAACTGTCTTCGACTCTGTGGTGTATAAGACGAGTATTAGATCGTAGATTCCTCTGTTTTGATCCACTCGATTATGCTCCCGGATTGTTGTGTTTTTAGCCTTGATTCTAGTAGATTTCTTCTCTGTGGATTTCGTAGATTCAAGAGTTTAACAATGGTGATTCGATTTCGCTGATTTTAGATCTGATTGTGTTTCACACTTGTTCCGAATATTTTTTGATTCCCCTTCATCCATTCGTGTTCGTTCTCCTTTGAAAAAAATTGGCCATAAACTAGAATTTCTTTCTCTGGTTCAAACATGTCGTTTTCTCCTGAGATTCGTAGAGAATTGTGAATTTTTCTTTTCTCTCTTTTGTCGTCTTCCGTATTAGAGTTGTTGATTTTTGCATTAGCATTTCTGGTTTAAGAGTATTTTCCAAAAACAGTAAACCAAATGTATCTTCTATGACTAGAATAGTAACTTTCTGTAGCATTCACTCTCTTAGATCACAATTGAGTTCTAAGTCTTTCACAGGTGTGTGAATTAGTTCCATGGTTAGCATAAATTGTTTCGAATATGGAACTTGTTACTGGAATCGAATGATGAATGAAGCTTCTAAAGTCATGATTTTCTAATTATATTCCTGGTTTGGCTTTGTTGCTAGGTTTCAAAAGTCTATTCACTTTAATACTATGGGTCGTGGAAACAGCTGTGGAGGAGGTCAAAGCTCACTCAATTATCTCTTTGGTGGTGGTGACGCTCCTGCTCCTAAGCCTGCTCCAGCTCCTCGAGCTTCACCTGCTGAGCCAAACAACGGGACTGCTGCATCTGCACCTGCACCAGCACAAGCACCAGCAGCTGTGACTGCAACCGCACTCACAACAGCTACTACTACTGTTGAGCCAGCAGAGCTCAACAAACAGATTCCTGCTGGTATCAAAACTCCGGTCAACAACTACGCCCGAGCTGAAGGACAAAACACTGGAAACTTCCTCACTGTATGTTTTGTGGTCCATTACTAAATGAAATGTTCTCTCTCTCTCTCTGAGATAACATTGTAATGCTTTTCACTCTCTCTCTCTCTCTCTGCAGGACCGTCCTTCGACCAAAGTTCATGCAGCTCCTGGAGGTGGATCGTCCTTGGGTTATCTCTTCACTGGTAGCAAGTAAAACAAAAACACTGTGTGTATTGCAAATGCGTATCATCGTCTCTGTTTGCCTTCTCTCACTATAAACTGTTTGATGTGAGCTTTCAATGATAAGAAGTCGGTTTCTTGTCAACTTATCCCAATCCTTTTTATCTGTAATATTCTGCTGAAAAATATTCAAATCATTTGAATCAAAACATAGACTTCTCTGTTATTACTAAATGACCACTATGTTTATGACTCGTCATCATTGGAACAAAATGGATATAAAGCCAAAATTACACTGTAACCAGTTCTGGTCGGGAAAAATGTGGAAACATACATCATCATTTAGGATGTTGAGGAGCAGGGATGATACCCCATTTTCTACGGACTTGCTCCAAGTCTTCGCTAAAGTGTCTCTCATAGTACACACACATGAGGTCTGTGCATTGCCTTCCTGCTCGAACAGCCCAAGGAAGGTAATGCCTCAAGAACATTGCTCTCTGCTTCTCGTTGAACCTCACGGTGCCTCCAATCACGGAAAGCATGCACATTGGGAGATACATCTGCTCAAACTCTATGACTTTTAGCGCTGACTCGCCTATAAGATTAGTAGGGAGGCCAAAGAGAGTGTGCCACAAGTCGTGGACTTCACGAGCCCGTGTTGCTACGTAAGCCAACTCATCCGTCTCCATGAATCTTACCGGCGGACGATCATCGGGAGAGAAGTTTCTAGATCCCATGAATCTTGCGTATGCAGCTCCGAATGTGTTCTCTGGTAGATCCCAAGCATGGCCTACTTGCTCCGACACAACACGAGGTCGCTCCAGCAATATTGCCTAAAGAGAAAAAACAACAGACCTCAGAGGTAAGAGACAAGTATCAATCACCAAGCAAGTAAACATCAAATTCTCTCAATCAATCATAGCTCACTCTCTTGTTCGGAGCTAAGCCATTGTTACATCACTCATAGCTCAATTTGCAGAGTAATCACATTGATAACTAATACAAACAACCTATAAAATTGATCACTAAGAGAAAGTGACAAACTTTAAAAACTCACTCTGCAATCAAGCAAACAAAGGAAACATCAAATTCTCTCAATCAATCATCTTCTTGTTCAGAGAAAAGCCATTGAGCATCAACAGAGAAACTACTCTGTAGCCATTGAACATCACTCAGCTCAATTTGCAATGAGATCACACTGGTTCGCATAATCACTTCCTCGAGAATCGCTAACACACACAGCTTATGAATTCAATCACTCTTACAACAAAATCAATGGTTTTTGTCAAACAAATACAAGAAAGTGAGAAACTTTAAAAAAAAACTCACTCTGCCTTCAGGACTCTTCTTCATCCTCTCAAGAACCATTTCGAAAGCTGGTTTCCCGGTGGTTTCACCTAAAGCTGCGATCAGATCTGCCCTACGAGGATTTACTAACGCACCGACGGCAGATCCCATCGCCACCGCCGCTTGTTGCCACCGGCTTAACGGAACTCGAGCTCTTTCGATCGTCATCGGTCGTAGAGAATCCCTTCGGTTCCGGAAAGCGACTCTAAAAAATCAGAGCAAAAAAATCGGTGGACGATGACGACGAGGAATTTAGATGACACGCGCTTATGGCCCCGTCACCGTGTAGCGCGTGGACTTTCTATTCTCACGATTTACATTGGGCTTTTAATTGTCCCATGTACAATTTAGCTTAATCAAAATGTAATGCCGTTTACTAATATGTATATCTCTCACCTGAAACTTCAAATATCGCAAGTAAAAATATATACGATCTTAGACTGCTGATAATACTTGTTACATATCAAAAAAAAAATGATTTTGATCCCTTTTTCTTACGACGACACATTTTTATTAATTTGTAAAACAAAAAAAAAAAGAGATTTTAAGGCGCATATAAAGTATAAAAAGGCATTTTCAAGCCCCCGGCGAGGATCGAACTCGCGGCCTTCCGCTTACGAAGCGAACGCAATACCACTATGCTACGGAGGCATTTTGTTCTAGTGGTAATAATTTATGATTTTCTAAATACTATTTAATAAAATGTTGAATATTGTAATTGTATTGTATCTAATCAATTGTTGTTTTTAAAACCTGAAGAGACTATTGTGGCCTCCGATTTGCAAATCATCACCTTAATAGATCTTGAAGATGGTGAATCCGTAACAATAAAAATAAAAAAAAATCTAAATTGCATGTGATATATTATTGTCTCATTTTCATCTCATTTCTATGTATATATGTTACATAGTGGAGTCCAATTATTTTCATAATTTGTGTATAAGTGTATGATATTATTTACCAAATAATTTGCTTGTAATTTCATTATCTTTTTCAGTTCCACAAGCTGAGCTCAATCTTTTTTTATTTTATTCCTCCCAATGCAATTATATGCAGCTTTCTTCATTCTACACTTTTTTGTTTTGCTATTACACAAATTAACTCATAATAATAATTTAATAGCTTCCGTAATACTGTGTCACTGACTCCATGCGAGAATGATTGACGGATTGACACGTGCCAGTCCAGGCTAGTCAAAAGGCAGTAGTATATCGACACGTGTCGGTCCAGGCACGTGATGTACGTATGACTGTTTCGTTCACTCGCAACACATCCGAAGAGAGTAGGGAAGAATATGTTTTAACCAAATGAGTGTTCGACACGTAGCCTACGAGCAGCTCTGTTCCTTACCTCGACCTGCACTATGCTTCCCTCATCTTACGTTTTTATTGTTAAAAGTAAACTAAAGTCTAAAAGAGTATTTCCGAAAGTACAGTTTATAAATCTTTAATTAATAAAGCTTTTGTCAGAAAGCATATAATATTGAATGTTTACGACTTTTTGGGGCAACTCTCTTCGTGCTACCTCGTATTATGGACTAGATAAAACGACTTTGCAAGTTTTGAAAGATATTCTTTGACTAAACTTTGCAAGTTATTACAAATCATACAAAATTATGAGGGATTCTTTTTTATATAATAAGATTACAAGATATAGAATTTCAATTTGGACTAAAAAGCATAAAACGACTGAATTGGTTTTATCTAACAGAAGTCCTAATCTACTTAAGGACAATAATAAGAATCCTAGCTATCCTCGATAAACCATGCAACAAATTTATATTTTTTAATATAGGTATTCAAACTTGTATATATTTGTTAAGTTAAGCTTTTTACTTTTCCATTACACGTAGTTTATTTAGTTGCAATGTGATCTTATTATTAAATAAAATTATCAATTATAACCAACTTTTTTTTTACAAAATTTTTGAATAAATTGTTTCCTATACAAGCCCTGCAGGTGTAAGAAAACGTTATTTTATAATTTCTTAACGAACCTAATAGGATGATGAAAATAAGAAAAAATTAACATGAAATATATTTGAACGAGACTCCAACTAATATTAGCGGCAGAAAAATAAATGGTTTTAAAATCTTGTCCTAAAGAACTTCAAATGCCTATGGTCCATGGAGTAACTAGGGTTTTAGCCCAGCATGGGGTCTCATCTAGTTCCATTTTGTTAGTCTAAAACTCTAAAGATACAGAAGAAGTCTGCAAGCATCAAAAATCCTACATTATATTATTACGTGGTGTTTGTAATATTTGATGGATTTCCTTTATTAAAAAATAAATATTATATGGACCTACGGTTTTTGTTATATTAGTCTTCAAGATAATAAAACTTATAATGGTAGATCCAAGGGGCAATCATTTTATCTTCCCAAAGAAAGAGAGAAATTGCTTGCTAGTACCCCAACTATATATATATATATATACACATTAATCTGACAGCATATATAATTTTTGGAGATTTCCTTTACATTTTATTATTAAGAATGACTATATTAGTAGAGATCATTTTTCGAAATTATTTATACGTTTCTGAATTATCTACCTGAATTATATCCATATAAAAGATGGAATATCACATTGCAGTATTCTCTGGTATTTATTCTTTTTAGATGTGAACTAAAGCATCTCTCTATATGTTACTTATTGTAAGGTGGCCACTTGGAAGCTGGAACCACAAAAGAATGGTGCAGAATAGCGAGCATGTAGAAGATAAGGATCTTAGTTTTACAAAATGATATGGATAAGACATGCATATACACATCAAGTTTCCATCAAGAAGATTAATAAAGATAAAATAAATATATCATTTATCTAGCACGAAAAGGACAAATTTTTTAATATTCTATTGATGTTTAGGTTGAACAAAAATAACCAAGGTACCAAGTGAAATATGAGTCAGCAAGCAGAGTTAATAAAAAGCTATGTGAGACATATCACATGAGTAAATTAGCAACCATAATAATCATGAAGGTAGATTGTCACATATAGCATAAGTTGCCATGAGAAGAGGTGAGAAAAAACAAATTAACCATAGAAAATACCTACGAGATTTTCTTTATGTGAAAAAAACTCATTGGTATTAGCCTGACAAGAAGCATCCTACGAAAAAGTTGAAAAATCTTAGGATTTGAGAGCTAAACTGTTCATAAGAAATTCTCTTTTGTTTTCTTTTTATTGCGAAGATAAATCAAAATAAAAATTGTCTAATTTTTGTTTCAAGCATCTATGAGAACTGTTATATTAACATATGTGTGAGTGACTTTTTTTTTTACGAATGTGTGAGTGATTTATTGAGCATATAAAATCTAATATTAATCTTGAAATCTATCTTGGATTATATATATACTGTATTTCATGAATATCGTTTACCAAATTTGATTGGTCTTAATCAAATAAATTGACCTCTTTTAAGAAGGGAACCTACACACGAAACTTTCTAATCTTTACATTACTTATAAACTATTACATAGTTGCGGAAAAAACAATACTATATAATTTTTTATTAATTTTTGGTTTTATTATTTTCTTGATAACTTTGTTACATGATTGGAGTGCTTTTATAGTATTGAACAAAATCGTGACTAATTTTTTTTTTCTTTTTTTGTTCAAGAAATTTCAGGAATATTTTTACTATCTAACATGGTTTAGTTCTAAATTTCAGAAATGTGAATCACAGAAACAAACCATGATAGTTTAATCTAACATATATCTAAAAAAGGGAGGGATAATTAGCTAAAATGTCCACGTGAGACGTAAAACCCCTTCGAAATAACAAGATAAGATAAATTAAATATAAACTTTTTGATATATTTAATACTCCGCTATATAGTACGTACTATATCAGTTTTAATTATTATTTTTCTTCGGTAGTACTATATCAGATTAGCCATTTCAATTTGACACAATTTGTTTGTAAGTAGAGAAGATCCGTTTTATGCATTTACACGATCGTGAAGTAGCTGTCATACGAAAGAACCTGTCGGCAAGAGAGGCAAAGCAATAAAACATATCTTTAGAAGCCTATCATTTTCTTACTTTTATTCACAAACACACACAATATATATACACATTATAGTGTTCTTTTCATAATCTAAACGTGTCAATGCCTTAAAAAAACCTTAATTTATCTTTTTCCATTCATTTCATGAACAATAATATATAACCAGATCATGAAAATACTAATAGACAGGACTTGGACGATGTGAATATGCTCTATTTAAGGCATATTTTGTAGGTTATATATAGAATCTGTTTCTTATTTCTTTTTTGAGCATATTAGTAAACTAGGGACTAGATCTGATGAAAGAAAGCAATCTATATATACATATATGGCAGAAATTTATCTATCCAAAAAATCCAATGGAGGAGGGTGAAAGAGAAAAGTTGGAGCATTTTGGTTGGACTATAGAGAGAGAGAGAGATCTCTTAACTCTCATTGGAAAAGTACTAGGAATCAATTTTTATTTCTGCAAAACAAATATAGAGAAAAAAAAAGTTAAAATTTATATATTCTCTGATGAAGTAAGAATAAAATAATGTGGTATGCTTATGAATAGCTTTTTTCCAATATATACGTATATATGTGACACAAACACAAATATAAGATATTTTATTATCATTTTTCATAAAAGGAAAGTTTATGAGGGTGAATATAAGTTTGTAAGCTTTTATTTGGCCAAGAATGGCTTAGCATCTGCAAATATCAACAACAAAGCTATTCTCTTTATATATTCCAACAAAAGAAGAACCTGAACACCGTGGCCCACCACCACCACAACCACAACAACCATTACCACCACCTCCTCCACCACCACCAGTCACCGGACATGAGAGGAAACCAATTCATGCCCTAGATTTAGAACCAGAATCCTTTTATACGAACAAGATCTACACTCTGTACGCATTAACACGTATACACTTTATCTATGTGTAGGTGTATATAAAGCTTCTTTAATTAACCACTTGTGTGTTTAGGGGTAAAAAGGAGGAAACTTTTCTGTTGGATTTTGGTTTCTTGGTGAGAGAGAGTGAGTGAGAGAGAGAGAGAATTTAAGGATGGGAAGAGGGAAAGTGGAGTTAAAGAGGATAGAGAACAAGATCAACAGGCAAGTTACTTTTGCAAAGAGAAGGAATGGTTTGCTTAAGAAGGCTTACGAGCTTTCTGTGCTATGTGATGCTGAGATTGCTCTTCTCATTTTCTCTAACCGTGGCAAGCTCTATGAGTTCTGCAGCAGCCCTAGGTAACTACTTCTTCCATCTTTGATTCTCATCTCCCCAAAGTTTCTACTTTTATACTCTCTTTTTCAGATTCTTAGGGTTTTGGAGGGTATTGAAGTTTGGGTCTTTCTTTAGAATTAGATGATAAGTGTTTGTTTTCTTTTGTGAGTTCTGGGTTTTTAATATGCACAAATCAGTTTCCTAGAGTGAGATTATGTTAACAACAAGATGATCATCTTTTGTTGGTCTAGATGATGATTAAAGCTAGAGACTTATAATACAAAAGTACATGAGATTTGTGTATAGAAGCTATATATATATATATTATATATATTTACAGTGAAAGCTTTTACACATGAGACTGAGTCTTGTTCATATTGTTTTGAAAGGGGTTGATCCAAATTTCCAAAGAGACAAAGGTTTGACCTCTGGATATACACAAAGCTGTAAAGAAACACAAATACTTTGACTACTTCTTTACGTTACTATCTCTCAAGTACTTATAATAATCTTATTAAAGTTAAAGAGACAACTGTGATGATACTCAATTTCATATTTTTCTTTTTTCTCTCTTTTGGGGCAATTGAAAAACCTTTTTTCTTCTTGCAAACCCATCATGATGAGATTGATAACGATCTTGATGTTCTTGGTTTTTAACTTGGATATTTTACAACGCTGTAAAGAGTTTTTGTTAAAAAAATTTATGATCATTTATTTGTATGAATTAGTGGTATGGCGAAGACAGTTGAGAAGTATAGAAAACATAGTTATGCAACAATGGATCCAAATCAATCAGCTAAAGACTTGCAGGTACATCTTCTCTCTCTCTCTCTCTCTCTCTCTCTCTATGAATTGTCAAAGACTGACCTCAAAGTTGTTAAATTATCATTAATTAATTTTATTTTAATGGCAGGATAAGTACCAAGACTACTTGAAGCTCAAATCAAGAGTTGAGATCCTTCAACATTCACAAAGGTACATAACTTGACTCATAAAAAATATTGAAAAGTAAAATGCTTATGACTCCAATTACATAACTCTTTGTGGAAATTGCTTCTCTCTAGGCATTTGCTAGGTGAAGAGATTTCCGGGATGGGAGTGAATGAACTTGAGCAGCTAGAACGTCAAGTAGATGCATCACTAAGAGAGATTAGATCAACCAAGGTATAAGATAAGCTCATAAATTTGATTTGGTTCTTTGGTCCTGAGAGCAATTAGAACAGTACTTAACTGGGCTTTGTTTACATTGCCAGGCCCGGTCTATGCTTGATCAACTATCTGACCTCAAAACCAAGGTACATAAAAACTCACATAGTGTACAATAATCTCAATACAACACACTCTCATATTCATCAATTTACAGGAGGAAATGTTATTGGAAACCAACAGAGATCTTAGGAGAAAGGTATTGCCATCAAAATATTCTAGCGCAAGAAATTGAATCCCTTTGAGATCATCTCTTATAACATTGTTCTCTCCTTCTTTCTATTTCAGTTGGAGGAAAGTGATGCAGTGCTGAATCAATCGCTATGGGGAGCTTCTGCTGCAGAACACTCCCAGCAACAACAGCAACAACAACAACAGCAAGGCATGATCTCTTATCAAGCAAACCCTCCGAATCAAGAAGCGGGTTTCTTCAAGCCTTTACAAGGAAATGTAGCATTGCATATGAGGTATTATAAATCATAAAAAAAAGTAATTATATAAGATCCATTGATATGATTTCCTTCTATGATCAGCAAGATTTGTCCTTAATTTGTGATTTTTTGAACAGTCATTACAATCCTGGTGTGACAAATGCAAGCAACGCTGCAACAACATCACAGAATGTTATTAATGGATTCTTCCCTGGATGGATGGTCTGAAACAATGCATATATATGTATACATATGTGTATTTTTATAGATCTGCTTGTGTCATTTGATTTTTGCAAGAGAAACATAGTTCATGATTACAACACTCCGTTATATAATCAAGGGCTGTAATGTCAAACCAGATTATCACTTTTTTTTGCTCCTGAAATATAACATTAATTTTGAGTTTTTTTTTACATATAACAAATAATTGTGGGAGCTTCTTTTTTTTTTTGTTTTTTCTTAATATCATAGAATTTTATTCGGATTATCAAAAAGTTCTCCGGATTAGAATATGATTCATTTAATCAATTTCCATGCCTCAAGAATTGGATTCTCAAAACAAGTAGTGCTCTGCATTGTATCAAGATTGTGTGATGTGGATTATTACAACGACTTATTAAATTTTTTTTTTTAAATATAAAATTATGAGAACAAGTCCAAAAGGGAGTTGTTATTTATATTCATGGCAAGCACGTTCAAGAAATGGCTCCAACCAAAACCAAACAAACAAAAGAGTATTTAAAACACAACCAAAAACTCAAAGGACAGAGCAAAAAAAAATCAAGAAACAGAGAGACAGGTTTCAAAATGGGGAAACCAGCTGGGTATTGGGTTAATAAGATCAGGACATCATTCAAAGGAGGATCATCGTCGAGCAAATCATTAGATGAAGGAAGTGCTTCTGGTTCTAGAAAGAACGATTCGAAGCATAGTAAGAATCAGAAAACAGAGGGAAGTAATAAGAATGGTGAAGGAGGAGGAGCTTCTCAAGCTGAGAGTGGGAGGAAAGTGATGATTGTTGTGGACACAACTTCACAATCGAAGAATGCACTTCAATGGGCATTAACACATTGTGTTCAAGATGAAGACAATGTCACTCTCCTCCACGTCACAAAAACACCCATAGGACAAGGTATGTATATGCTATACTCATAATTTGCATTTACTAGAAACTTCAAATTAGAGATGACCATTAGAACCAAAACTTGAAACCATATTCTATCTTGCCTGGAGAAGACAGGTTACCGATTTTTTGGGCTTTAGGCTTATCGGGCCTTCGATTTTCTTATGGGCTTATCTTAGGCCCAATGTATGTTAGCTTCTCTATATATGCATTAACTAACGTGTTTGTTGTTATAGCTGTAGATGAGACACAAAGGGAGAGAAACTCAAGGGCTCATGAACAAGTTCATCCATTGAAGAACTTTTGTCAGCTCAAGAAACCTAATGTAAGCTTCTTCTTTTGTAATTACAAATAACAGAAAGTCAGACACTGATCATTAGATTTCAATAAACTCTCGTTTTGACATTTGTGGTTTGATTAATTTTCAGGTGAAGACGGAAATAGTGGTGGTTGAGACGGCGGAGGAGAAAGGGAAGACAATAGTGGAGGAATCAAGGAAGCAAGGAGCAGGAGTTTTGGTGTTAGGGCAGAGGAAAAGAACATCGAAGTGGCGAGTGATATGGAAGTGGCGTGCGAAGGGAGGCATGGGAGGAGGAGTGGTTGAGTATTGTATTCATAACTCCGACTGTATGGCTATTGCCGTGAGGAAGAAAAGTAACAATGGAGGTTACTTGATCACTACGAAACGTCACAAAGATTTCTGGCTCTTGGCCTAGCATTAATTATTACCTCACCTCCTAAAATCAAATTCCTTTTTTTTTTTTAATCTTTTTTTCTTTTGTTAATTGAAGTTTTATTTTTGACGTTATATGTTTATGGACATGATTGATCTTTATCGTGAACGACTGCTTTTAAAAAAAATGTAAAGACTTCAATTTTATTTATGTTTGTTCTTGTGCTGAACTCTAATAAGCTAATTATGTTATATAAGCTGAAAATTGGTCGAAACTTTTGGAAAAACGATTAAATTCGATTAATGTCAATTATAGCTTTGTTTCAAAATGTATTATTTTTCTTTATGCTACAGCCATTGTGCTACATCCATCAGAAATGCTGGTCCTGATGTATCGCCGTACCGGTTATATCCCTTTTCTGGTAATTTTGGTTCAGTAGAAACTACTATTTCCACTTAATAAACAACAATGCATGTGTCATTGGGCGTCAATATAATACAACTAGTTTATCAACCTTTAGAGCATCTCCAATCCTACTCCATTTTCAACTCCAAATGTTATTTTGGAGTAAAATTCTCTCGAACCCTACTTCATTTTCAACTCCAAAATGGAGTAAACCTAAATTCTACTTCATATTTAGAGTAGATTTAAACTCTACTCCATTTTGGAATTATACTTTTTTATTTGCAAATTAATCCTTTAGATTTAAAATAATTATATTTTATACTATTTAATATTATAAAGATATTATAAAACTAATAATTAAAAATATTTAAACACTGCATAAAAATATAAAATATAAGAAACTTTAAAATACATAATAAGTGCTGAAATTAAGATAAACAATATAAATAAATTTAAGACAACAAATAAAAAAACATTACTGATAAATTGTTTTAGTAATAGTAATGTTTAAATAAAAATTGCATATGTTTTTTTGTAATGTTATGTAATTTTTATTATTTGATAAATATTTAAGTTATAGTTTTTGAAAAAAAAATTGTAAATAATAAAATAAGTGGGATTTACTTGTAAATTTTAAAACTAAAAATTATTTATAATAAAATCGAATAAGAATCTATTTAGAATATTCATTTTTAGAGTAGAAAATAGAGAAATACATTGTGAGCAAAACACAACTTTATTTTGGAGTAGAAAATGAAGAAATACTGGAAATGGTAACAAAGTTTAAGTACCAACAAGAGAGACATTTATTCAATTTCTAATAATTTTTATTATTGAATAATACTCTCTCCCTTCTTTTAACCATTTTTTGCCAAAAAGCACAGAAATGAAGTAAGCAATAATTATGAAATTATTTTTGGCTTTTCCACATTAAAATATATGTTATCTAAATAAAGATCTTTATAACCAATACCAAAAAATACTGCAGAAAGACACAAATATAAACTTGTTTTGCATATAAATTTGAGAATACTAAATAAAATAAAATTCCTGAAAGCATCTGACACATGAAGCAACGAATGTAGAATATAACTTAAACATTACTCAATCGCCCTTACTAAAACATTATTCGGTTTGGAGATAATCTTTCACTTCTTGATTTTTTGTGCGGCATCGGCAACAGCAGTTACAGCTCCAGCAACGGCTACGGCTGTTGCGACAGTGCCAACGGCGGCTGCAGCAGAAGTTACGGCGGTCAACGCAGTACAGACGCTTATTGCCGTACTAACACACTCTAGGAAACCCATCTTACTTTTCTTTTCGCTGTTCTTGTTCTTATTATTCTTTTTCTTTTCTGATGAATATGTCGTTTATGGGGTATATGTAGTTGAATGCGATATTTAAGTTTTATTTTATTGGGGTTCGGAAGTTGAGTTCACTACATTTTACAAGATCATCTCAATTTTCGAGGAGGAGATTTCTTATAAAGTTTCTGTCGTAATTTAATGATCCTGGTGGGATTCTAGAATCATTCTACCAAAGAGGAGACTCTTGGAGAGACGTGGAAATTAATGTGTCTTTTGAAATTAGATTCAAAATTCAAAGTACACACATTTGTGTTTAGTAAATGCTATAATATCAAAACGAAAACATTAATAATATTATGATCATAAATGAAAAAGAAAATTACTGTAAAGTATTTTTAATACTCCCTTCTTGATAAATTTGTACTCCTTCTGCATTAAACCAAAAAAAGGATGACTTTTTTTGAAATGCTAAATAATTTTGAAAAAACAAATTTGCATTAAATACACAGAAAAAAAAATCGAGATTCAACGGTGTATAAATTTATAATAATAGCTACATATTTTTATTATAAATTCTATATTATATTCATACAAGTTTATAAATTAAAATTAAGTATACATATTTTTTTGCATGCACAGAGTGCAGTAATTCGAACTGTAACTAAGAAGTAACCATTATAGTTTAGGTTCAAACTCAAAATTTAAAATGACTTGGTCTGTTTTGTGTAAGTTTCATTTATTAGACTCTCTTTTGCCTATTATGTACTCGCAATGGATGTTCCTTGGTTACCACGATACGTGGGAAATATTTCTGGACTTGGAACTAATTGTTTTATCACGCGCCTCATTGATCCTATATAATATGTATAATATTGATATTTGGCATTTAGCTGTAAAGAAACTTGGCATTTAGATGTAGAGACAATTGGCTTTTTATTATTATTCTTCTGATTTGATCATAGAATATAAAGTCGAAATATTACTTCATCAGAAGCTCAAACATTTTGAGATTATTTACCGATTGCCATCATTCCACCATTTCCTCCTCCCCGGCCTAGTTGAAAACGGAAAATATATGCTTTGGTGACCGCTCCGGCGGCAAAGAGTGTAGTTGTGACGGTGGCTATTGTAAAACTGGCTGTAACAGAAGTGATGCCTATTAGAGCAAGAATACACATGACGATAATACTTATGAGACCCATCCGATTTTATCTTCTGTCTTCTTCTTTACTTTTAGTTTAGAAGAATTATCAGACCTGCTGATACATATATATAGTTTAATGTATGGAGTATATTTATGGGAACCAAAAAACAAGGAGAGGTCAATATTTGAGAATTTGTGTAATTGTAAATTAATGATTCCGTTTGAAACACGTTTCGGGTTTCTAAGCAAACTTTAGAGAGACTCTTGAGTACTCTTTGAGTGCGTCAGGGGAATTTCAATGTCTTCTTTCTTTTTCAAGGTAAAATATTACTCCTACATCAGTTTTTTTTGGAAGAATCACTGGGTAAAAGGTTAAATTAATTTGGTTTTCTTTTCTCTTTACCATTGCAGTGACTAAAAATAAAAATAAATAGCTAAACATTACGATTTTGGAACGCATGCATATGTGACTTGTAAATGATACTAATAACAAATTTTATAGTTCTGAATAAAAGTTACTCAGGCTGGTTCCAATTTTATCAACATTAATTAGGCTGGTTCCAATTTTAGTTGTTGTTGAACAATCAAAGTTTATGTTACTTAGGCTGGTTCCAATTTTATCCAAGAGACGTTCATAAGGCTGGTTTAGCTTTGGAAAGGTGGTCAAATTGGTTAAATGAATAAATAAAATAAATTGGAAATTGCCTATTACGATACGAGGTTCAAAATAAATTAGTATCTATAAACACTAGAATTTTGAGAGAAATAATTAAAGGCGGGCAAATAAAATTTCTTTAGTAAATCAAAGTGTAAAACCTCTATAAATTAATAATGTTTGGAATATAAGTTGATAAACTTACGACTTTATCTACAATAACTTGATTTTCTTTGTTATTTAACTTATTTTTTCTATCACACAAAATTAATAAAGAATCTGAATAAAAAGAACGTAAGTTTTTTTTCCAAGAAAACCACAGCTTAAGCCCCAAGTCAAGAAAAGATAAGAAATATACAACGGACACAATAAAAGAAGAGTGCGATACTAGTAGTTAACTTTGGTTTAGGTGATTTCATACTAATAACATTTGAATCTATTATTCTTGTGGTTGATTTCTTAATATCATAGGAATGAAAAAGTGAGCCACTTCAGAGTCCAATTACATATATAAGTTTCAAGTGCACCGTTATTGACAATCTACCATGTGAAAACTATACAAAATTGTTAAGTGAATATTGGTTTTGGATGAAGACGGATCGGAGTAAGATAACTATGGATACTGAAAACAGAAAGAGAAAAATATATAAAAACTTCATTACCACATAACGATCACAACATGGTACATATGATATATCACATGCACCTTAACTAGTGTTGTTATTATTCTTATTGCTTAACCATAAAACATAAAACGGATGTGACAATCCCACGTACATCAAACATTCATTTGTAACGCAAGTTCCGGAAATATCCTTTCGGATCGCTTTCGAAATCACCCCTTAATATGCGAGAATCCTTCCCGGGTGCCTTCATCGTCTTCTTGTCCGCTTCCGAACCCATGCATAAACCGGCAATTGCTGCAACGACACCTACAACGGCAACTGCTCCAACGACGGCCATTGGGATTCCAAGAAATGAAGTTTCTTCTCTTTTTCTCTCAACGTTCCTATCGCTGTCGCTCATTTTTGATATGATAATGACAGTTACAAGATTTACTTTTTCTTTGAGGAAGAAAAGATTCATGTGGCTTTTATAGTTGTAGATATGATGGTAAACGATTTACTAGATGAATTATTATCTCAATTCAATTTACTAGGACGTGGTCTTAATTACGATTTTTGTATTGGAATTTAAGGGAACCGTTCGAAGTCGATTGGGGTTTCAACTTTCTAGGGAAGAGTATGAATATACGATGAATGGAGTATATTTATGGGAACAAAGAAAAACAAGGAGAGGTCAAGGTTTGATTTAATGATCTAAATATTTGATGAGAATTTGTGTAATTATAGTTTAATGATTCTGTTTGAAACTCGTTGCTGGTTTCTAAGCAAACTTTAGAGAGACTCTTGAGTACTCTTTGAGAGCGTCAGGGGAATTTGAATGTCTTTTTTCCTTTTCAAGGTAAAATATTACATCAGTTTTTGGAAGAATCACTGGGCAAAACGTTAAATTAATTTGGTTTTATTTTCTCTTTACCATTACAACGACTAAAAATAAATAGCTATAAATTACGATTTTGAAACATATGCTGCATATGGGACTTGTAAATGATACTAATAACAAATCTTATAGTTCTAAATAAAAGTTACTTTGTTTTTTTTGCTGTTGAACAATCAAAGTTATGTTACTTAAGTTCATTAGGTTCAATAAATTAGAATTGCAAATTGCCAAGGACGATATGAGGTTCAATATTT